TTCTTAGCAGGCCTTCGTAGTGTAGTGGTCAGCACGCTCGGCACGTAATTCAGAGGTCCGTGGTTCGATTCCCGGCGAAGATGTTGCTCGTTTTTCATCTCTCCTGCTTCCGAAATAACCTAATGTCTCTACAATGTAACCTGCAATTAGACCAGAGCTGCAAAAGACAACTGGGGATTTTTCACAGTGTCTTTATAAGCGTCGCAGGGACAGGGAATGTAAAGGACCCTTTTATTAATCCAAATAAAGTTTAATAGACGGCACCAACTGGTGCTTACAGAAGCCAACACTTTTGGATTTAATTCAAAGATAAGGGATAAAATTAATGAGATTTAAGTACAGCGTAATGGCTTCACAGTATAAGTAGCTTTCAAGCTGGCTTCCACCGAAGTTGGTGTAAACAAGCCTAATGATAAGAACACCTCAACGTCGCAGACTTCTAATCGAGAGAATAAACATTAGCAACGTGGCCTCCAAGCAGGCAGAACAGGCTCTGAATTCACCCTCCAAAACCTTCATTTAAATTAAAGAATTTGATTTGGGAGAAGATGTAAAGCTTCAACGACACAGCAACGCACTGGGCAAAAAAGTCGAAAATGTGTAAGGGGTCGACAGACTTTGCAGGCGTAAAGACAAGCCTTGTAAGGCTGCTATTACACATCCGTTTGTTTCGAAAGAACAACTGTGTGGAACAATTATTCTGCTTTGTCACAACAGCCAATCACCACAGATCGCTACAGGATAACAGGGATAAAATAACTGGGATAACTGGGGAGCCGTCACCATCAGTTCCGGTGGTGACGGGAGACCCCACACACTTGGCGACAAACTGGGAAAGTGCGCACTGCTTCGCGTTTCTCAAAATCGCCAACTTGAAAATAACAAGTCAAAGAATTGCACAAACTCGGTATCCATGTACACATCGACCTATGTTCACTTAAAAAAAAAATCAGAGAAATACCAAATGCACAAACTTGGCGTTGCCCACTTTCTTGACTTTGTCCATGTACACATGATACGCGCCAATCATTCTCGCCAAGATCCAATCGGAAACTGGTTCTCCATTACAAATAAGCTGATAACATTCGAAGCTGATTGGTTGAAAACGAACAACTTGCAATTTTTTTCGAGTGAAAGAAAAAAAATCGCGCGTCTTTCAATAGTAATCCTGGCAGAAAAATTGTCTGAAACAGTTGTTCGTGTGAAGCAAATGCGTATGTGATATGGGCCTAATTCATCTATGAATGCAGCCGGAAATGGCCGACAACATCTGAGAACCTGTCTGGGCGCTATACTGATTGATTTAAAAACGTATATTTTTTACATAATTAATTCTTATTTCTTTAATGTTAGAAATATCTTTTAAGCTGCCAGTTTGGTTTCGTCAGAAATCCGTTGCATGACATGAGAAAGTGAAAAAATAATCGCATCTAATGAACGATTGAATTGTAACATTTTATTTTAAAATTATAACCTAGACTATTAAAGAGATCAGGAACATTTGAAGTATATCACTATAAAGTTTTCTTATGCAATGCAAATTATCTGGCTTACTTTTAAGAACCAATGGCTGCCCAAACTTCATCAAAGCCTTCAATTTTAAACATAATAATAATGCTAGCTAGAAAATGGATAACCCTAAAAACCTCCTCCTGGAATAATCATCAAATAACATCTATGAGAAACAATTCAAAATTTACTTTTATTTTAAAACCTTATAAGATATTTCTCCCACCTTCGTAGCGTGCCTCCGTGGTGAAGTGGTCTGCACGCTGGGCGCGTATTCCATAGGTCCGTGGCTCGATTCCCGGCGAAGGCGTTGCTCACTTTTCATCTGTCTTGCTTCGAAATAACCTAATGTCTCTTCAGTGGCGCCCGAACTAAAAGGGTGGCGGATGATGATTCTCCACACCCAGTATTTGTCGATTGGGTCCGCTAAAAACCCTAGTCGATTTTTAAAAGGGGGGAGTATATAAGGTATTTCTACCTTATATACTATATATATAGGATAAGGTAGGGAGTATATAAGGTAGAAATACCTTATATACTCCTTACCTTATCCTACCTTATATATTTCTTCGTGGTGTGGTGGTCTGCACACTGGGTGCGTATTGCAGAGGTCTGTGGTTCGATTACCGGCGAAGGCGCTGCTCATTTTTCAAGTCTTCTGCTTCCAAATAAAAATCGTAATGTCTATAGAGCATTATAAGGTCACTTCTACGATATGCATCTGCAGCCTGGGCGTCAGCTTCAAAGGCAGACTTCCACAAACTTCACGCAATACATAATAAGAGTCTGACAAGAATTGTGAAGGCACATGACCTGATAACAAATAAACTGATCCACGACGACTTGAAAATCGACCTTCTAGTGAACCACATTACTAAATAAGCGTATCTTCAAAACTGGACTTAGCTTTGATGCTGCAAATTTTTCAGAAGTTGTTAGTTACCGAATCGTTCCAGAAGATAATTTGACCAGACCATTTGTTACTCAGCAGCCTGCTCTGTACATATATTAATTTACTTAATGTCTTGTGTTTTTTTTGTTTTGTTTTTGTTTCGCTTTGTTTTGTTTTTAATTATATTTAATTATTATGATTAATCCAGAACTCTTTTAAGGTATCCCACATAATTTGTAATGTATTTGGTTCATATTTACTTCTGTACCGGATTATATAGCTTATCCTTATTATAACTGTATGCCTAGCATGTACCATAACTAGTGTATGCCTAACATGTTACGATAATAGTGAAAAGTGTTCCCGCTTAGTCTCAGCAGTCTCCACCATGCACCTTCTTTCCATGTTCTGGTCCTTACTTCAATATTCCTCGTTTCGTGGCCAATCCCCGGAGGACACAGTACTAAGCTCTTTATTTATGTTTATTTATGTATTTATTTTAATTCCATCGACGGGATCGAACAGGCTGAAAAGCACCTAACCCTGTGGGCCAGCTGTTCCGTCGATGGTGAAAAGAAAGAAAGTCACTTAAGATTAACAGTATTATGATAGCTAAAACAATTTGTTTTCTGTTTTTTAGTGCATTTGATTAAAACCGTGCAGTTAAAAAAGTTTTTTTTTGTGTGTGTTTTATTTATACTTTCTTGTACGAAGTAAAGGAAATGTGGTAATCGCGAAAATTTTCGGGTACCATATTTCGACAAAAATATGCATTTTGACTGCTCTCGAATCACGATGTTTTTGCGTGACATCTCTACGTACGGACAGAATAAAGGACTCTTTTTTCTAAATCGAATTGTAAAATGGATTCAGAAGAGAGTTTTCGTGACGTCTCGACGTGCAGATGTATAACTCAAAAACGAGTAGCCTCAAAGCGTTAAATTTTGTATATGGGATTGCTAGAACATGTTGTTGTGCACCTCTCATTTTGTTGCAATCGGCCGCGCGAACCGTATATATATATATATATATGTATACTGTTACCCGGCTCGGTGAGCTCAGTATTTTTTATTCTTGTAGGTTGGTAAATTGTGCATTTTTTGCTTTAAAAATGGTTAAATTACGCTGTTCTTATGTTCCGATTAAGATCTTATGCCTTTAGTTAATCTGCATACAATAGCTGTAGAATGATTAACAACTTAAAAGCTATTTAGTGGTACTAATCTTAAAGAGGCCTCAATTTGTTTACATTTGAAGCTCTTAGTAGAATAGCGAATTAAGTCAGTTTATGCACAAACGTCGGTGTCTTTTTGCCTAGGCGGACCAAAAGTAAACTTTCAGTTTCGTGCACCGAAAAATCTGTCTTCCTCTCCGCTGGCCGAATCGCTTGTCTTTGCGTAGAAACTCTAATTTTAATTGTATTGGTGGAGGACTACGTTTGCGAAAGTTAGATGGCCTTAGTTACCATCGTTTTTTTCACAATGCAAGGAACATATAAGCGTACATGCATATTTTATTTATTTAATTTCTTTAAATATAATACAGGCGACAATATTTGTTGGCAACAATATGAAAAATGATTTGCCGTTTATAGTGGACGACGCAAAATCCCGTTTCGAGATTAATAGTCCATTCGGGCTAAGGTCCTTTTGGGCTAATATAACATTTAATGGCATATAAAGGGGGGGGGAATCCACCTCGAATTACTTTAGTTATTAATTAACTGCATCCATAATGTAAATAGAATGTGAAACCAAAAATCGCAAATTTTGAATTTAAATCTCTCTCTCAGTTTTTGTCTTACGCAAGTTTAGCTTTTTCAAGTTTTAGTTTTTATAACGAGCACAAAATTTCCTTAAACAAAAGTGTAGGGAACGGAAGAACATATAAAATATTAGATTTTTTAGTTTTTATAAAATTGATTTTTTCAAAAAATTTCAATATACTAGAGCATGAATATATTTGCAACATCAGCATAATCCTTATGTTGCAAAAATAAAGCATAATGCATTCACATAATGCAAATAGCGACATTAAAAGTTGCTCATCATTAAATAATTGTAATTTTATGCCCGAAAGAAACGTTAGTCAGCGTTTTTTTCCGTTGCATAACAAATTAACTGTCACTATATGCAACATTTCTTTCATTTTTTTTTCACTACTGTCACCCAGTAAGAGGTACCGAATTATCATCATATTGTCGGTTATTAAAAAGTACAATTTCTGTGTAGATAACAGCTTTTTAACTTGGCACTTTATCGCGTCCGCAGACAGAAACAATACCGCGTTATCTATGCGAAAGTTGTCGGAAGAATACTCTACTAGCATCTCAACAGAAAAATCTGTGATCTTTGATTTAGGGGAGGTGCACATATCGGGGATATTGTTATTCATCCATCCACCTCATTAAATGGAAACAATGGCAAAGATAAGGAAAGAGAAGTAATAAAAGCTTTGGACAATTTTTAGGGGTTTTACACCCGCAGTGTGTATATCTGCCGGGATTCTTACTTGCCTAAGCTATTCTTGGGACAGCAATTTCGAATTGGTGCATTTAGGTAATTCGGATTTCAGTTTTGGACATCGGTAACTTCACTTGCCACAGAGTGGACATTTAGACCGTGCGAAAAGGCAACATCAACAACATGGCGCTCTTGAAGAGCTGCTTTCTGGTGCTGGCCTTGCTTGGATTGTATGCTTCAGGTAAAACTAATTTCATTAGAAAATACTGGTACACCTTGGACAAGAAAAAAATGGGACAGTTCTTTATCTCCCGTTCTACTGGACCGGTTGTCGAAATTTAATGAAATTTGTTCTCCATGTTTCGAAAGCTCGACTTTGGATATATATTACATGTATACATAGCACTGTTCTAACATAGGTATTTTGACACAAAATAGAATTTTTTGTCAAATGACATACCAATATTTTCCCATATTAAGATTCTACGACTCAAATTATGCCTAGATATTAAAGTTTGTAATTTGTGGTGAGAAATTTATGGAGAAATTTAGAAATTTATCTTGGTGCCTTTTTTTTTCAGTTTGCGCCAAGAATAATTCACTTGGCGAACTTCTTAATTTATGGCAACCTATTTTTCATTGTACACGAGCGGAAAAAAGTTCACTGTTCATACTTTCAAATAATTTTAACGAAGTGCCTAAAGCACATTTGGCGTTATTATCGCTTATAACAAATATGCCAAAACCCTCCAGTATGTAAATTTTGGCAAACTAAATTCACATATATCTTAGGAAATTTTGATAAAGCAAATTAAATTCACTATATCTTAGGAAATTTTGAATAAGAAACTATAATCTTTTGCAGTCCTGCTTAGAAATACATCTACTTTAAAATGATGGTAAAAATTTTATAGGTTATAATTTAAAAAATGTTTTCGAAAAATTTATAAAATTTATTTAAACATACACATTTTAAAAATAAATCATAAAAAATGCGTGAATTTTATTTGGAATGAACCTAAATTTTGAAATGCGAAAGAAAGAATAAAATAAATTTAATAAAAAAAAAAAAAAGATATTTATAAATATATACCAAATTCAATTAACATGGAGGATTTAAAATTTTGAGAGCTAATTTTTTAAAAACTACGTGTACGATTTTTACAAAACTTAATACTTGGAATAATTTGAATCGTAGAATCGAAATATGGGAAAAAAATCGGTATATTATTTCAGAAAAAGTCCGATTTTGTGTGTCAAAATACGTATGTTAGAACAGTGCTATATATAAATCTAATATATATACTAAGTCGCGCTTTCCAGGCATGGAGAACGCAAGTTAAATTTCGACAACCGGTCCAGTAGAACGGGAGATATAGAACTGTACCTTTTTTTTTTTTTTTTTTTTTTTGTGTGTGTGTGTGTATGTGTGCAAGCTGTATATTTAAGCACACGAATCACTTTTCGGTAGAAATTTAATTATTATATTACAACTAGCTTGGTTATTATAATATATGGTTTCAGTAAATTGTAAGTAAATTGTAATATATGGTTCCTGGTTACTGTAATATATGATTCCTGGTTACTGTAATTTATGGTTCCCATTATTGTAATATATGGTTCAGGTCTTCATATGATTTCAATAAATCACGTATGTTTCAATTCAAAATTAGTGAGCATTAGTTGTGTAGTTAAAGTCTAGCTCTATGGACTGAACGTAACATTTCCACACAGCTGGACTTTAGTTATGTTCAGCTGTGTCAGTTTACAGTTATAATGGCACACATCTTGCTTATTTCTATATAAATTTTTATTTGTCTTCATAAATCTTTTATGTTCATAAAACTAACTAAGAAATATATATCTTAGTATTTTAATCTGAATCAATTAGCAAAGCATTATATGAAGAAAATATTAATTACACGCGTAATACGAGCTATGCATTTATAATTTGCGGTAGCTTTTCATGTTAGTAGGTATTTTATTTTATTTGACTTTAAACAATTTAGAGGTATGAAATATTAAAATAAAAAAATGTGGAAGAGTTCAGATTTTAACGATCGCCCAAAAGGTTCATTAAGGTACCTTCTTACATTAAAGTTTGTAATCTTTAATGTAAGAAGATCTGATCTCGCAGTGTATAAGTCTGCTGCTGCACTCACTCCTGCTAACCTCTTTTTTTTTGTCTTTTTAGCTTTATTATTAAGCATAATTTTCTTCCCACTTACGCCATATACAATTCAGCAGCAAAATTATAAAAGTTTTAAAATTTTTTTTCAGTCTTTTCTGAGTTTATCATATCAGTGTTCAGTTTTCTTAGTAAGATAGCTTACAAATATCCTTTTTTTGTGTGTGTCTTTTTATTAGCTATGTTTTGTGTGTTAACTTTGTTTATTAGATATCACGGCTCTTCACACTTACGTCAGATAAACATCAATTCAACAGCCATATCGCAAAACAATTTAAAAAGAGTATATCTTTAGAATTTTCGATAAACAGTCTCTTGCGAGGGAGACAAAAATGTTTTGTTCCGCACAGTGTTGCTGCTGCGTGCTTTGAAATCGTTGAGTGTGTTAATCTAAAATTCTTTAAAGTTTTAGAAAATATGAAACAGATAATAAAAAGAAATCCGAAATTCAAAATTTGGGCTTACAACTGCGTATGTTCGGGTGGAAGATTACGTTATTCGGAATTTGATGGCTCTAATTATCGTTATTTTTTCGCAGTGCGAAAAAACATATATACATTCATGCAGATTCTTTATTATTTAATTAAGTATAATACAGGGTGATAATATTCGGTGGAAATAATTTGAAGAGTAATACAACACATTTAAGTGTTTCGAAGCAAAATGACATTTCAAGATTAATATTCTATTCAAAACTAACGTCTCTTTTGGGCTACTAGAACAAGGAGGGAAAGAACAAATTTTTTTTCTATTAACAAAATAAAATTTGTCAGCTAAATTTAAAAAAAAAATTCTTTTAAATATTTATCAAAACAAACATATAAAAATAACGCAAAGAAAAAATTCAAATTTATACTTATTTTCATTAGCAATGTTTTGTGAGTTGACAATATTTATTAGATATCACGCTTTTCGTATACTTATGTCACACAAACGTCAATTCAACAGCAAAATCATAAAATATTTAAGAACAATATATAATAAAATTTCCGACAGACAGTTTCGCGCGCTGGAGATTAAAATGTCCCCCCCCCCCTGTACAGTGTTGCCATTGCTCACTTTCAAAACGTTGAGTTTCTTAATCAAAAACTCATTAAAGTTTTACAAAATATGAAACAGATAATAAAAGAAATTCCAAATTTGGGCTTCCAGCTGCCCATATTCGAGTGGAAGACTACGTTATTCAAAATTTGATGTCTCTTGGTAATCTTGTTGTTTCACAGTGCGAGAAACATACATACATTCATGCAGATTCTTCATTATTTAATTTCTTCAAATATAATGCAGGGCTCTAATATTTAGCGGCAGCAATTTGAAAAGTGAAACGCGGTTTTAGAGTGGACGACGCAAAATGTCAAAACGAAATTAATAGCCCTTCTGGGCAATTGCCACTTTGGGCTAATAATGAGTGATCAATAATTTTTATTAATAATTATCAATTTGCTTTCATTCATTATTATTTGAGTCAAGAGCTTAAACATAAAAAATTAAAGCAAGTGTAAGCATGAGTAAGACATATTAAGTACTCTCCAAAAAAGTAATTTAAAAGTACACTACATTTTTTACAAAAGAGGGGGGGCAAAAAATGAACGCTGTAAAAATTTCATTATTGTTCTCTAGTCAATATTTAATAGATGTATTAAACATAAAGCAAACGAAATTTTAACGAAGCTAATACTTTTCATAATATAAAATTCTACAAAGAGTTAAAAATTTTAGTAAATTAAAAAAAATACCAGACTTTTTCTTAAAATTTAATTCTCTAAAAAAACGTTTTGTGTGCTTCAACTTATTAACAAATTACAAAATTATTTATGTGCTTAAATATCCATTTTTGAATGTTGACAGAAAATTTCAAAACTTTAAGTCATTTAAAGTATTGAATATATATATATATAAAATAAAAGAAAGAAATATTGTAGTGTGCTTGCTAAAAAGTTACCAGGAGCTGTGGCTCCATGAAATAGTTCAACGCATTATTTTTTAAAATATTAACATGGAAGTAATTTTTAAAAATATTAACATGGAAAGGTGAAAAAACAGCCTACACGCGAAATAAAACTGTTAAAATTAATGTTGGAAAACAGGAAATAAAAAAAAAACAAAAAAAAAAAAAAAAGAAAAAAAAAAAAAAAAAAAAAAAAAAAAAAAAAAAAAAAAAAAAAAAAAAAAAAAAAAAAAAATAAAAAATAAAAAAAAAAAAAAAAAAAAAAAAAAAAAAAAAAAAAAAAAAAATAAAAAAAAAAAAAAAAAAAAAAAAAAAAAAAAAAAAAAAAAAAAACAAAAAAAAAAAAAAAAAAAAAAAAAAAAAAAAAAAAAAAAAAAAAAATAAAAAAAAAAAAAAAAAAAAAAAAAAAAAACAAAAAAAAAAAAAAAAAAAAAAAAAAAAAAAAAAAAAAAAAAAAAAAAAAAAAAAAAAAAAAAAAAAAAAAAAAAAAAAAAAAAAAAAAAAAAAAAAAAAAAAAAAAACAATCAAGGAAAAAACACACCTAAAAAACAGATCGATGGAAAATTAAACAAATTAAAACATAATAATTAAAACTAAATTGCAAAAATTAAAAAATCATAAAAATTACAAAGCGGAAAATGGTAAATTAGCCCAATTGGACTTCCAACCAGGCTTTTCAAGGGAAAAATAGTTGAATGATATTTTCGCAGCATTTTGCGCAAAAACTTTTTAAGACCAAATAGGTCTTACGTCACATTACTTGTTAGCTTTTCAATTTCTATTTCAATTATATATATATATATATATATGTGTGTGTGTGTGTGTGTGTAAAATATAAAGCATCTACCTTTCTTATGATAAATTACCATTAGCCCTTAATCTTAACTCTGCATCGTAATAATAATCTGTTATATATCTGAAATTCAATTCGCTTAATGTGGCAATCTTGCGCTCTTTGGCCTCTTCTCTCTTCCGGTTTGCTGTAGAAACATGCTGCCATCAAAAAGTATATTTTTCAAGTTGTAAAACGTTCTTTAAGAACAAGGCTCTGTAGCACCGATTCGAATAAAATTCTATGCTAACCATGAATAAGAATTCGGCTACG